AAAAGATAAAACATAAGCTTGCCTATCGACCACATTTATACATTTCAATCACTAGCGTGAGATGCATCTTTTGTGTAAAAATCTTAGATAGGCAAGCGTGTGCTCTCTCTTTTCCGAAGAGAAATATACCACCAGAATTGAAAATATTCAAGAAAACGTCCTATTTCTGCACTCGTTTGTGGCCTCTATTTATTCTTTGAATCAAAAATAGTGCTGGTTTTAAAACAAGCATTAATTAATTTTCTTAAATCATCTCTAGCCTTGTTTAGCTGAACAGAGTTCTGTTATCTTTAAAATTTATCTTTGTCAAGCCTTTTTGACTTTGCTGTGGTTGAATGACAATTGATAATAAAATAGTTAGTCATTGATCACAAGAACTATGCGTGTTTCTGTGTTGTCTTGTTCAAGCAAGTCCTTAGTTTGTACAAATACTTCATTTTATGACCATTTAACTCGAATACTGTTCATTATCTCAATATGTCTGCTTCCAGCCCCGCTTCGAATTGAGAATCTTTTTTTTATTATTATTATTTAAAGTACCTATGTTCTTAAAACAAATAAAAAAAACGTTAATAAGATGTAATTTAAACAAATTTGACAAAAAAACATGTTCTTGAAGACGGTTTGTGTCACTCTACACAAGAATATAATTTGAAGTGTAGTAAAAAATACTACAGTGAAACCTGTCTTATCCGACATGCACTGGGAGACAGGATGCCGGATTACACTGTGGAAATAAACATGGAAACAGTAAAATGGGTACTAAATTAAATGTCGGAATCCACAGTATGTCGGATTACACAGGTGTCGGATTAGACAGTTTCCACTGTATTTTCATTGTCGTAATGATGAGAAAATTAGTTACAATGATTGTATGATTCCATCAACATACAAAAATATACAGATACCTGAATATGAAATTACCGAGAAAATAAGATTCTTGAAATCAGGTTAAATCTTATCAAGATACACATTAACCCCGTTACCCCACGGTCCAAGGAGCCATAATTACCTCAAAATCAGCTTTAATATAGATTTTGATCATAAAATTTCAACCTTTGTGCAGAGATTTCTATGTTTTAAATTATGTTTAACTTGCACATTTTCTTACCTATTGCTATCGTTGCGATTGATTAATCGGTTAACTGGTCACAAATTGCTATAATTTCTATTAAAAATGTAAAACAGTGACCAACCAAATTAAAAGAAATGTGCTTATAGAAATAAATATACAGAATATATTTACCATCAGTAAATAAACACAAGGTTGTCTGCATAAATACAATTGGCACTATTGATCCATTGTATCAAAAAATATATTAAAGCTAATCTGGAGGTAATTATGGCTCTTCAGACCGTGGGGTAATTAGGTAATTGGTCGGTTTGTGTTGTGCTAATTAAAAGCCTCAAAATGACTCATTTTGCTAAATCATTTCAATGTTTTTATTCAAAATTTACTTTGTCAATTGTGGGTCTGTATTTTAAAAGAGGAGTTATATTAAGTTTCATTGTGTTTATCTTGTCTTTTGGCTTGTATATCCCTGACTGTGGATAATGAGGTGTGAACTATGACATGTAGTATTTCATAATAAATAATTCTAATCTAGACAAACGATATCAAAGAACAATTGACAACTCTCAAAACAATTGCATGTATATCAAGTTGAGCATAGAAAGAAAATGTATTATTAGTTACAGTGTATATTAAAAGGTACATATGTACATTGATTTGCCATAGCCATTACTAAGAACTGTTATCAAGCTTGTAAATAATTAAAACACGGAGATCGTGTATATCATTACGCATACTGCCAACACGCGGAAAAACCAAATACTTGTAAATCATGCACAGTAAAATATTTTTAAAAATCTGTGAAAAGCAAAGGTTTTTTAAAAGAGGTTCAAATCCAAGCTGCGTGAATACATTCCAACTTCAGAGGATATCAATATTACTACATAATTTTTATAATAATAATAATTTTTTTTTCTGCATTGATATTTGGGGATGGAAGAAAATTTTAAGTAATCGATTATAAATCGAATCGATTATCAATCGATTAATTTGACTAAAGTAATTGATTACGATCAATTACGTGACATAACTGATTGTAATCGATTATTAATTAATTACACAAAATTTCTCTAAGTAATCGATGATTAATCGATTACATTTTTTCAGTGATTTTCAGTAATTATGCCCATGCCTGATCCATGACATAGAACATATGAGAGTATGGTAGTGAGAGTTCATGTATCTAATTGATCATAAGAACCCTTGTGTCGACTATAAAAGGGAGCAACACTTAATTACGTATCACTCTTTACTTTGAGAGTCAGGGATTTGATTTTTTTCTCTTGTACTGCTTGGTTCTATAGCTATTAAAATTAGTAGGTTTATCGTCCTTTTGCCGATGGAGCCAGTTGCAGATCCCTGACCAACGTCTCAAAATATTTTAAAGTGCTGACATAAGTTGTACGTTCATAAAATTTAGCATGTACAATGCTTGTCAAAGAATATTAAAACCAGTATTGCAAACAACTTGAATTAGATCACTGACATGTTTGACCTACTTTGCCAAGAAAGCACAAGGGATTTTTTAAAATTAATTTTATTACTTTTTATTTTGAGATGTAAGATATTGTTTTTTTTTTTAAGCTTATGCATTTTCAAACACAGTGAATGCCTTAAATCTGTGTGGTAATCGGGAACACATAATGTTATATCTAAATACTGAAAAAAAAAATCCATACGATGTATTACGTTAACTGACAATTGCAGGAAAAACAGAATGAAACATATAGGGGGACTGTAAGAAAACACTTATCTATAAAAGGAATTATAGTTACAGCTATTTCCAGTAATTTTCATTTACTAATTATCAATTTGAAGGTCAGAGAACCATATCATCTTTGACTGTCAATCCCTTAGTAGTCTTTATAAAACAGAAGGATATGGAGATAACGAACAGTATTCAATATCAAACCATTAAACAATACAAAAAATAGGAGCAGAGCAAACAGGGACCTCCGAAACATCAGAGGTTGGATAAGGTGCTATGGAGGATTGAGCATCCCCTGCTGACCGGTCACACCCGCCGTGTGCTCCTTGTCATGATCAAGCAATAACGGAAAAATCCGTTGTCAATTCAGTGTATAAATAATGGACCAGCAATTAGTATGAAAAACGTCAGTCAGCATTTGACTCAAAGATAAATTGTATATGTTGACAACGTCATTGTATCGAACGTAAAACTTACGAAACGACTTTAAACGAATCTGCTGATATTCTTGTTTAATCAACTTGCATGTCAATAATTTACCTCGTTTTAGAAATCGTTCATACGTAGAGCGTGATCTTGCGTATCGAATCAACTGAGATATATATACTCTGTATGCAGGTTATGAAGGTATATTGCTGCATAAGTAAGGGAAGTTAAAGAGAGAAAAGGTAAAGCCATCACGTTTATCATATAGCTTGGATGTTAGGTTGCCATTAACGTCTTTTTGAAGTGAAATATCCAAGTATATAGTATCACAGATGTGTCAGACTCTGTGGAATCTTTTTTCTCAAGCTCATTGGGATATATCGTATATCATATATCGTACGAATGGAAATTACCATTGTTAATTGACAATACGTCGTCGATATATCTAAAAGTCGAGTTGAAGGCCACAGCAAGAGTTTTCTTCTTTTCGCGCATAAGATTTTGCACAAATTCTGCTTCATATGATTTAAAGAATAGGTCTGCTAATAACGGAGCGCAATTGGTACCCATGGGAATTCCAATATATTGTTGGAATACCTGGTCTCCAAAAACCACATAGGTATTGTCAATCAGAAACAGAGCATCGTGCCAAGAAACGTCAATATTATGTGATATATATGTTGTTAATAGTATGAAGTTGCTCCCTTATCAGTGGTACAATCTTAATTACCCCACATGTAATTCACGATACATTTACCTCCTATAATTCTAAACAAAATACAGGTTCTAGATTTTTTTTGCCCCTTAAGTTGTCAAGAAACTGCAATTGTTCGTAAATTGTCATTGCCGTGTAATGATGTCTGATCTTTCTGTCATTTAAACATTTATTTCAAAATTTGTAAGACATTTTTTGTACATATTGTAGATTAAACATAAGAACAAGAGAGTAGAAATTTGTTTCTGTTTCAACATAGTGAGGTCAAACCATTTTTTTAAAACCGTCTGAACATCAACAGGAACCTTGAATTAGAAAAGCTTGTTGAAAAAATACTAAAACGTCAGAAATCAATTTGAACTTCTTTTTTTTTTTTTACTTTTTCTGTTGTATGACCAAAGATTGTCTGTTTGATTTTCTTCTTTCTCACCTCTTCTCGGTCTATACATGTCTATCTAGCCATCCATCTGTCTGTCAGTCAGTTGGTAGTACAGTTTTCTTGCAGTCAAAATATTCCATTTGGTTTCCAAAATCGTCCTCATTGCCTTGTTTGATTTCAAACCGGTGTCTATCTTGATGACTAAGTTCAAGTTAACAGTTCTTTGTCTTTGATGATTTTGAAAGAATGATCGGTTTTTTTGTTTGTTTCAATAAATGAAATTGGAGAATTTTTATTTTTTGCAATATTTTGATAATGCTATAAAATACCTAAAGGATAAGACATACAGTAAAAACTCGATTAGTACGAACACGGATATTACGAATTCACGGATATAGCCAAGTTATCTTGGATCCCCATCTATATAAATTTAAAGAATTCCTTATACAGATATAACGAATTATGGATATAATGAAGTTATTTCATAGGTCCCAGTGTCTTTGCTATAACCGAGTTAAACTGTAGTTATAAAAGATAAATATCCGACATAAAATTATAATAATTCGGATATTTGATTTTTTTAAATTATGAACAAATATTAATCCGTCTCTTTTGTGTTAAAAATATTATAATTTGTGACAAAAAAGCTTTTTTTTAAAATGTATTCTTCATGATTAACACCAATCTAATTTTTTTTCAGAGATTAACTCAAGCATCATTATAGACGAGGAAAAGAAAAATTCAAACATAAAAGACGTTATCGCAGAAAGGGAAAAAGAATTAAGTAATGATGACCGCTTTAGATTTAAAAACGCAACACTTTATGTTACATGGGAATTGAAAAAGACGGATTCAAATAAAATGGATATTCCTGGTAAGATTTTATTAGTCTTCTTAACTGAAATCTAAATCTCAAGAAAAAAAATTAAGGTAAGAAGCAAAGAAAAGGTACAAAAACACTAAAAGAAAGAGTTATTTAATAGGAGCAAAGGAGAACAAAGACGTGAACTGTTCATCCCATACCTTAATTTTTTTAATATGTTTATATATACAGGTGTATATACATTAAAATCAAAAATGAGGGAAATTTAAACAGCTATCCAAGGACAAAGGCAGTGATTATATTATTTCATATTATTTCATCTACATTGTTATAATTTCAGTTAGACGTTTAATATTTTTTTTTAATTTAGAGCAAAGACAGACCAAATCACAGTCTTTCCATTGACATTAGGAATAATTAATACTTTAAGTTGCTAATCATGTGATATTTCTCTCACAAAAAGTTTTTTTTTTTCCTTTTTGCAATAAATGATGCAATAGAGGGTCTGTTATTTGATACCATCATATTGGCATAAAAAATTGATAATAATTGTCTTCATTTTATATAATATTTCTTAACTTTTCTTATAGAATATAATTCATATATAATGCTTCTTATAAATAAACGTCGTTTTTATTACTACATGTACATGTACATGATAAGTAATAGTGATGAAACATGTTCATTGTACAAAAAATTCTGATCTTTTAAAAGGTTTTCACTGAACCTTTAAATGTATCTTGTCTAAGATTGGAGGCTTTAGAGGGCTTAAAATGTACTTAAATTATTTTCAATGAATAATTTGTTTGTTGTTTTAGGTAACGTTGAAGAATTTTGCGATCATATTGATACGTCTCCCAATATAAAAACAGAGCTAAGAAAAGATGTAGACTCTGAAAAAGAACCAGACAATGATTTTGAAATGGTTGAACCAACAAATAATTCACAATCTTTAGAAAAAGGTATGTCAATAAATTTCCTTTTCCTTTTTCTCAGTTTGATTTAATAACAGTCAGAAATTATCCCCCTCCCGAATTTGCAAACTTTTAAAAATTCTTTTGAGAAAACATAAAACGGGACATTTATGCAGATTTAATTCAATTGGTAAGTTATCTTTCAACTGCAAAGTGTTTGTAATGTGTACGGCTTTTATCGAGAATGGGGTGTTTTTTTTTTTACATTACTGCATTATCTGAAAATAGACATAGGACCTACATCTAATTTAATAAAAATTCTGGTTTTCCTCGACTTTCAGATGTCTTTGATATTCAGTAGACTTAAAACTTATCAAGTATCTTTATGGTAAGTGACAAAAATTGTCAGATATGATAGTTGAAGAAAAGCGATTAAAAAAGAATTTACATCTTCATCCTTTTTGTCTAACTTCACTATTTTAAAAATATCTGAATTAAATTTCTGCCCAATACTTCAACAAAACACGTTTTTGTAGAAAATATACTGATTTTGGCTTTTTTTATGTAAATTGATCATAAACATTTGGATAATTCACTGCAGAATAAAACTTCTAGCGAAAATGTGGTTTGTGGGTGTCTGTATATGAACGTGCACTGTATGTGAGGAAAAAAACGTTGTGCATTGTAAAGTACAACATTAATTTTACTTACAGATGTGATAATGATATAATAAGGGTTTTATTGTACTTTTGGTTTCAAACTTTAAAAACTAAAGTTAAGTGATTGATTGGTATTGATAAACACCGAGTCCACAATATTTCAGCAATTTTTCGACGGAATAAAATTTAATTAATAACTTTTAAATTTTAGGTTTTTTAACAAATCTGAGGGATACCTATTCCAAAAAAGAAGAACCCAAAAGGAATTTTTATCAAATTTGGCTCGGTAATCAAATCATAAGCATACCGTAAATCTGGAAATTTTTACGTCGATTTTATTATAAGCATATAATATTTTGCAAATTTCCACTATTTTGTTTACACTTTCTATTTTTTGAATTGGAAATCGCAAATTTGCTAAAAATTTATCTACAGCAAAAATTTCCAGATTTACGGTATTATAAGCATATAATAAGCTATTTTGTAGCTGTATGAAGCAATAAATTTCATGTAGGATGTACACGTTTTCCATCACGTCACATGTGCTTTTAAATGCATGCAAGACCTGTGTTTATGATTCTATCTTTGTCATGTTTGTTTTGTTTTGAACATATTTTATTGACAATCAAAAAAGATAAGGTTTCAGAAAAATTGAGTTCATATCTTTATAAAACCTCTAGTTTTGGTATTTAAGATATATGATTGCAAACAGCCAAAATGTTTATTTATCATATTTAAGTGAGTGCATTTTTTTTCCCGAAAATCAAATATAGACAAAAAGACTTTCTATCCCTTGAATGTTACCGGATACGGTATTCGTTGGAAAATACACATTTATTGTATTGAAATAAAAGTATTGAAAAGACAATGTAAATATATAAAAAAATATGTTTTAATCTACTCTCTATTGTGTTGTCTTTTGAAAATTTCAAGGCATTTGCTTCGTTTAGGCAGTTTCCCGAGCATTTGAAATGGACAAATGGTAAACACAACACATGGAAAATGGCAGCGTTTGATGATGTTACGGTGCATCGAAGAGCAATTCAGTTTAATTCAGATATAGAAATGAGATCCTAAGAGAATTAAAAATACAGAATAAAAAAATATGAAATACCACCACTTCTTTAGAATACAAATGAAATGGAAATTTTCTAATCGAACAATTCCAAGCCGTACAGGAAAACAGATACAGTAATAGCAAAAGACACTGCCACTGGCACTGGTATTGTCGATATGAATTTGCATTTTTTGTTGTATGATACTGAAAATACTGTCCCTAACTGTCTAATATATATTCAGAAGGTCCCATACGTGTGCGATATTAGTTCCACAACTTCTTGTGTAGAAAATAGGGGAAACTCAGTTTTCATTCCACATAAGAGGACTTTCTAAATTCAAGTAGGAATTATCTATTTTCTTTTTTAAAACAAAGACACTGTTTAGACACATTAAGATTATCTTCTGTGCGTCATGACCCAATAACATTAAATATCATAATTTGAGTAAATATTCATACATCTATTAAATCAAAAGTTGCTATGTACATTGATGAACTATATACATAAAAGAGTGAACATTTTTTAACGCAATGACGATTTTTTTTTCGGTGTAGAACAGGGATGGGATTATAAAAAAGTAATTGTTAATGACTGTAATTAATTACAATTTTGAAATAATTGGAAGCAATTTGTAATTGAACAATTTTCAATTATTTGCAATTGTAATTTGATTAATTACACAGAAAAAATACCATATAATATCAATTACTTTTTCAATTAAATTCAATTACTATATAATAAACATTCATGATATACGTGTATTGTAGCCATTACCTCCCCATTTCACTTTCTTTTATTTTCTTGAAAAACATATCCACAAATCTTCAATTATACACAGTCTTAAATTAATGTTTACAAGCAAGTAAAAGGTTTGCTTTGTTGATAATAATAATCTAGTTTCTTTGTAATCATTATTTAAAATTTGATTTTTGGATTAAACTATGTTTGTTAGGCATTTCTGTTTTTTTCTTGAAATTGTTATGCAATGTTTAGAAATTTGTAAGTGTCCGTCACAAAGTATTTTGATATTACATTAATACTTTATTTTGATACTTGAACTTTAATAATCTATCAATACATACTCATTTGCAAAATCATTTTCATTTTTTACATGAGAAAAATGAAGGTCATCTGTATTTTCCTAATCTCTTGTTATCCTTCAAACAGACTCAACATAGTTGCAATTGTTGGAAGTTTTATTTTCAGTTAATAGTTTATAAGTGTTTATGTAGTGAAACTTGCTTTCTTAACGCATGGTGTACATTGTAAGCTTTAATATATTTAGATGTTTTGGTAAACATTGTAACTTTATTGATCAATTCAGCTTATCTTTTATAATATATTTCTTTTCTTTCAGATAATAAATGGAAGGAGTTTGTTGTATTACATCCTCGATATGGGAATTTGTGTGAAAAAATATTTAATGAAATTATACAAGGTTTTCCAGTTGAGGATCGTGTGTATTATAAAATAACAGAGAATACAAAAGAAGAACTCCCAACATTAATTCTTTGTCTTTGTATATCCAGGGTGGACGATGATATAACTAAAACGCTTTCTCTTGTTGACAAACTTCGTAAGTAGTCAAAAGTAAATATTCCATAAACAATGGTCTAGGTTTTGAAAAATAAAATCAAATGTTTTACAATTTCAACGTTGGATTTAAAATAAATAGTTTGTTTCAATCATCAAACCAATGAATGTTTTGAAAAAGAAAAGGTATGATTGTTCTTGACATTTATTTAGATAAAGTGATAAATGTTCTACATATTTTGAAATCTTATTATGGCTTCATTTGTCAAAAGCCTTGTTTTCTTAAGATTGCCGAATTATTTCTTTTCTCAGCACCCAGGGCGATGCTTGTCGGACTGGAGTGTTGCGAGGAAGGTGTGAAGCCCAATAAGCGTATAAATACAAAACAAGAAATCCATGGCATTAGGGTCATAACAAACATACTGTATAGTAGAGTGAGGAAATATTGTTACAAATGCGATGAAAACATTTCTGCTATCGAACAAATAAAGGATTATTTGAAAGAATTTTGAAAAAAAAAATCATTTTGTTTGTGCATTGGCTGATTTTCTTCATATGCTCATTAAAGCTATTAAAACCTTTCGTTCCTGTTGGATATATTAAATTAGAGCCGCAACAATGTATTTTAGGGAAAAAAGCCAAATCTGTAGGAGAATATACACTGACCCTGTTTACACCTTCCAATGATAAAAAAATGCAAAGAAGAACACTTCTGTATCATTTTTAAATGTGGATTTTGCATATTACTGGTATTTAATCTGTAGCGTGTTTATTCAGATTCGCATATTGATTTAACTGTCAATATTTGTACAAGTATTCGATTTCATTAGTTCTTGAACACATACCCGTATTACATCATAAATCATAATATATTCATAATAATATCCTCTCAAATATACATGCAGAGGAAAGCTTTGTCATTTAAAATGTATTAGGTTGTAAATAAAATGTTGATTCTGGTTGTTTGTTTAATTAATTAAAAATTATTGAAACAACATTATTTTCAAAAAGTAAACCTGGTTTACATTTCTTTTCTCCGGTTTTGCGAAAGCGAGGTGACATTATAAAAATAGCATTCGTTTTTTCAGACTTTCTGTCACAAAAAAAAAATTCTATGATTTCTTTTGTCTAAGGAATGAATTAGAAGATATTAATTTCTACTTGGTGTGATGAAGTACTTTTTTTTTCGGAAATACAAGGTTTTCATTTTAAAACCTGGTAAATCCCACGTACTTCTTTAGAACTGGTGTTGTAAGCAAGGCTACATAAGAGGTGAATAGTTGCTTATATACCAGTTTTGGAGGACATATAAAGCACAATAAAAGGTTAAAGAACTACGAACAATAGTAGTGTTCTCCCGCCTACGTTCAAATCAATTTTCAAAATCTAATATATGTGAATGATTTTCCACATTAATAATCTTATTTACGTGATTTTCCATAAAATATCTTATTTGGGAAAACAAAGAGAGATAACCCCATGATTTTGGTTAAAGTCGCGTTTTTCACTATAGAAATTAACGGAAAAGGGAAAATATTTTCAAAACATCTCCCTCCTCCCATGAATCAAAAAAATCCTTTATACAGGTAATATAGACTGCCATTTCACAAATTCATACCAATGCTTTTTGTGTTTCACGGGCGGAACATATGTTTACTGCCAAAAAATGACAAAGGTTTAATTTTTCACCAATTTCAAAGGAGTTAACAACTAAAACATAGTATTTTATTAATGATATGTCTAATTTCATATTGATAAAACATAAGAAAAGAGGTATTTAAAGAAACATTTATTCACATTCAAAAATATTTTAAAATACGGTGATGGTATAAAGCCCCGTTTCAATTGAAAATATAGTCTACCCCCCTCTTTTAAAGAGCTAGAATAAGGGATAATTAACTATTTTACACTGGTATTGAAATTATTAATCAATTATAATTGAACAGATCCTTTCATTCTACAAAGATTTTATTGCCATATTTTCATTAATATTGAATTAAATAGGTGTAAAATGTCGGCGGGTATCAAGAGTTAGCGTACGTAGTTCTTTTGATTTATTCAGTCAAACTTCAACATGTAAATAAAGTGTTTTTTTCATATTTTGCATATTCTATATACATTGTAAAATAAAGCTGCTGTGTATCGTTGCTATTTCCAAATGGTGTGCTGTTGTTTATTCTACTTTCATATAAAAATAATAAATTGATTCAAAGTTGAAGAAGTTTGGCATTACCTTCCATTTTACCATGTCCATTAACCATGACAATGTGTTCCCTAATATATGAGTGGATACAATGATTTTTTATCCTGTGACTTTCCTTTTTAAGCTTGACCATTACAGCATGCATTAAAAAAAATGCACGCCAACTACTATCACAGGTCATAAAATAAGCATATTCCAAATCAGTTGGTTTCCTGACTGAGTTTTGTTTCGTTTGTTTCGTTGTTAAAATACAAATAAAAAAAGAAATAGAAAGGATACTCTTTGGGAGCAACAAAGTGTCTTCTGTCCGATTCCGAAATTTAAAAAAACCGAATAATCGAGTTTACAAAATGATTTCGAAAAATTTAGACACTTTGGTGGTTAAACCCTGGTCGCCAGTGTGAAAATCCAACTCGCTAACCATGCGCCACTGGGACCTCCACTTCAAATTTTTGAATGCAAATATCTCAACATTGGGTGTTTCGATTCCAAAACAAATTTCATATTTTGCATTCAAAGGATATTATTGAAAAGAGTATATAAAATTTTTAAATCATCTAAAATATTGAAATAACGAAAAAAGTAAAAAAAAAAAAAAAAGAATACATTTAATTCACTTCCGGTAGCAATAAAAATGCTCGAATAGGTGATTCTGCAAACCTAAGTCATGAACTATTGTCTCCAATAAGTATCTCATGACCGGAAATGACGTAATCAATGACAAATTTTAAAAAAAAGGCTGCTCAGGTCAATACCTATCAGATTCCAAAGTTTCGTGATAATGGGCCCAGTCGTTACCGAAAAATCGCTTCCCCCAAAACGGTTAAAATATAGAATATAATGGGAAAAAAGAAAAAGAACGAAAAAAAATCAGGTCTTCCGTTGGATACGAAAGACCTTAATCATTGAGGATGGCTACGGAGGAGAAAGTGAATTTTTATTTCAAAGAGTCAAACGCCGGTCTTAAAGAGTATAGAGTCTCGTAAAGCTACAAATTTACACAATTGCAATTTTTTGAATTTGAAAAATGAAAGTTTTCTCTGCAGTTTACATTCACACGAAAAACAAAATTCTCAGGAAATGTTTCACTCTTGAAGTTATGAAAAATGCAGAATAATTCGTTTTGAAATAATACATTAATACTCTTAAATTATATGCACAAGATTTACATTCACATTGTTCTTTCCTATATGTGAAGTTAAGCAGAATGGTTAAAATTATCAAATATATTCAGAAAATGAAATAAAAAATGAAGGTCAGTGATGTTAATTCTTAGATATGACTAAAATAGTGCAAATTATTAACTAAAATTGGAAGATGTCTTTTCTAGGACCATAATTTTATGTTTTATTTGATAAACTTCCACAATGTGAAGACAGAATACATAATAGTTAAGAAGATGGGTGGATAAGGCGGGTGTAGTGCCTATATTGCAACAGATAAGAAGTGAAAATTTTAATCTCAATTAAATCTAAGTTTTATTTAATATTTCATCTAGCATTAAAGTATTCTTTATGAAAACCTCTAAAATTAAAAAAAAATATCACAAAAACAGAAAATATTTGCCTGCGAAAAAGCTTACACACACCGAAAAGTACAAAAACGACCATTTTCTCGCACTTAAACAAATTTTTTCAATGTGATTGGGTCTTCACTCCATTTTTGTGAAAGATGTTCCTAAGAGTTTGCAATAAAATACACATTTTTTGTTTACAAAAACATAGAAGGAAGACCCACTATACCTTAAAACATGATTTAAATGCCAAACATCAACATGAGCGATGTCACCCCTACTAATGTTATTGTTATTTAAATTCAAGACACGTGGTTTAGGTTTGCCTATTCAAAGGTTATAGGGTAGAACCGGTTTTATAAATAAAATTGGCAGGAAACAGGAAATTGCGATAGTCTGTTTCTTCTGAAAACATGTCATGTGAAAAATGTGTTTCCAGACCTTTCTGAAAGACTTTCATGATTTTCAACAGAAATGGGTGGCTAAAAGGGGGGGAGGGTAAAAAAAATTTTAATACATCTTATCAGAGTGTACTGCAAAAATTACAGCTCAATATATCGACCGATACGCTGGTGAAAAAATGTGTAACATCATCTACACTGACAAACCTTTGTTTGCCTTATATGTCTATTGCTATTAATGCGCACAGAGGATTTTACCACGAGCAACTGACCACTTGTTGATTGAATACGTTTACGCCAAATACATGACTTGTTTACATGTTACTTCGAACACGTGGTTCAGGTCAATCTATGATCATTTCAATGGAGTGCAAAATAAAAAAAAATTCTTATGAACAAAAATGCAAACATTAGAAACTATGAAAGATATCACGGGACTCACGGGCGTTTTTAATTTGTTGTTAACTAGAGAAAAAAAATGGTTTATAAAATGTATACGTTATTAGTGTCAAGTTCAGAACACCAGCACTTCAAGGGTAAGGAAAACGAGCAGCTTCTGGTATGCATTTAAATGGACAAAACATTTTTACATAACTATACTCGTGATCACGTGTGTTGGCCAGGGAGTGATGACAATTCTATTCATCGATAGTACAATAAAGGAATTTGTCAAGCGTAAAATTCCTGTAGTATTCGTAGTAACCCATAATGCAATTCTCATTCAGCTGATTTGTCAGTTAAAGTCACATTGGTGCCTCATTTGCTAATCTGACGCCAAAAATTATAGTCCCGGTTCCCATTTATCCAAAAAGAAATTATAATTCATGACAGCAGAAAATTGCATCATAGAGAATACTTATAATTTCAACTTGAATGAATTCAAGAGAAATCTATTGAAGTACATTTCTACTGAATGAGAAATCTATTGAAGTACATTTCTACAGAATGATATTATAGGGCGGTGAAAACTTAAAAGCAACATAACTTTTCTGTTTACCAGGTCTCCACGTGCTAGTCACTTCCAAGCAATATTTTCGTGAATAATTTACTCTATCTCGCTGAAGTCTCGCTAACTCTCGCCAGAGCCACTGTCAGAGCTACTCTGAACTCATCGTTTTTTAATAATTTGCAGAACACCGAAAAAGAAAAGGTTCCGAACACATTAGTAGGGGTGGATGTAGCGTAGTAGTTAACGCGTTAGTCTTAAAGCAGTATGCTTTTGATACATCGGATTTTTATTGCTACGAATACCATCTATTAATTTTATGAAAGAATTTTTTTGGCGAGATTTTTTTCATAATTTCAAAAAATTCAATAATAAGAAGTTAATTGAAATACCCAATTCACATACTGAATATGTTTTCTTAATATTGGACGCTATAGGCATTTTGCCCGCCTTGTTCACCCATCTTTTTAAATAACTTAAAACAAGCGTTGAATATTCCACAGCACAAAATTACTATTTGAAGCCTGCATATAAAATTAGGAAAATAGGAATCCAATCCGAACAAGACCGAATACTTCAAAAAGGAAAGCAAAATGACTCTTTTCATCTTAAAAACCTTGCGTGATCCGCGCATGGACAGAATGGTTGCAGATTCGCGTTAAAATCAAATAGGACTACTTTTAAATAATCAACTCTGAAACCCTGTATCAATTCATTAATAGAAGTTATTCAATTATTTCACAAAATTTTTGATCACCCCTTGTACAAGCCTTGAAATCACATAAATGTAAACAAATAATTACCGCAATACATCTATATTGTACTGCAAACTGCAACTGCAAACGTACTTGATGATGGACAAATAAACGAGAAATGTTGTCCTAATGCTAATTTTA